GACAGCCGGGTCCTTTGTCACGTGACCATGTAAACAGAGGTCTGGGGGAAAATATGATGAGTTCCTCTGTGTGGAAAATAGGAAAAACTGTGAAAAGTTGCTGTAGCACCTCTCACGTAAAAAAAAAAAAAAAAACACCCAGAGAGAAAATATTTTTTCTAACTGCAGTAATGAGGGGAGAGAAATAAGACACGTGCTGTCGTTCTGCCTCTGCACACCTCCGTGCTTCTCCTTTAAAAAGAATAGCCTCATTGTTTTCATTTAAAACACACTAAAACCGTCTAAAATGAAGATTAAACATTCAAAACTACACTAACTATAAAATCCAAACATGTTAAAAGTCACAGATATATTTAATAAAGTCCTGCTCTCGCGGCTCTTCATTGCCGCCAATCTCCATTCAAATTTCACCTTTTTTTATTTTCTTCTACCTTTAGCTTTTTAACTGCCTGTCAGATAACTGTGAGCCTCGGTCAAAAAGGAGGTTTTTGGGGTTATGTTTTTTCGGTTTAAGAGAAAGATGAGACTGATGGTGTTTTTTCCATGAGATCACCGTGTTTCCTGCTCCCTTCTTCAGRTGCAACACGCTTCAAAATAGAACGTCCATTTTCAGAAAAAAAAAGTAAGATATGCCATCGTAACGCTGGTTTTCTTAACTCTTTACCTGTCGACACAATTTAAAAACTGCTGTATAGTTTGAAGTCTCTACTTTWTACATAATTTGTAACAGAGTCTCACAATGAGTTTTCCCCCGTACAAAAATGCCTGTGCTAAAACTCTTTCAAATAAACAAATCAAAGCTCCTCAGTTGAAAACACCAAAATGACAGAAGAGCTGTTTAAAACCTCTTTTCCTAAGAACACTAAACTGTAAACAGTAACAGGATTTTACATGATGCTGCCCCTTTAAACTTCAATATCAAAGTGATTTATGTTTTATATCCTGGTTTGTCTTTACATCCTGTACATGCTTTGCAGCGAGGGAGCTCGCCCTGAAGCAGGAGGATGGGAGGACGGTGATGTACACGGCCATGGGCGCGGAGTGGAGGCCGTTCGGGTTCCCGCGGCGCCGCCGGCCCCTGAGCTCCGTGGTGCTGGAGGCCGGCGTGGCAGAGAGGATCGTCGACGACGTGAAGGACTTCATCGGAAACCCCAAGTGGTACACAGACCGAGGTGAGACGCCGCGGTGATGATGTGTTTAAAAGACAGGAAGAAAAGAGTGGATGAAACTGCTGATTCAGGGATTTGGAGACTGCAAGAGCTGAGAGCTTTTTCTTTGGATGCAGGGATTCCCTACAGACGAGGGTACCTGCTGTACGGCCCCCCCGGCTGTGGGAAGAGCAGCTTCATGTGAGTGCGCCGTCAGCTTTCACGTCTCCTTCCTGTTGTGTGTTTGTGTGAAACCTAATAGATTTTTCATTATAGTTTAGTTTTATTTCATTTTGACTTTTTTCCTTTTAATTCAGTTAGTTTTAATTAGTTTTTACAGTGTATTTGCTAGTTTTTATCAGTTATTATTGCCTTTTTAATGCTTAGTTTTTATTAGTTGTAGTATTAGTTTTTTAATAGTTTAAACAAACGAGGGTACCTGCTGTACGGCCCCCCCGGCTGTGGGAAGAGCAGCTTCATGTGAGTGCGCCGTCAGCTTTCACGTCTCCTTCCTGTTGTGTGTTNCTAGAGCAGATTAAATATGCTGAAGGTAGTGAAAAATTAGTTGTAATCGCCCTTTAGTCATTTCCCGAATCGGAAGCTGGAATCGGAAGCTAACTTCAGCTTCGTCTATGCTAGCTAGTTTTTACTCGGCTTCACTTGCTATAAAGGTTTTGTTCATTTTGTAAAGTCGATTTGTAAAACTAAACAAATAGACTCTACTTGTTATATTTTTAATCTCACAGTACTATTTTTGTGCATGTTTATTTTTTCATTTTCTGCCCTAGATAATTGATTTATTCAGTAAGAATACCAAAGACAAGATGAGCAAAAGTGATGAATCGGCTCAAAATTGTTCGAAGGTAATGATTTTCTAACAAAAAAGTAGTAAGAAAAATCCACTTTTTATATTCTTTATGGTTAATGACATTTGTATGTGTTTCTTCAAGGAMTTGACAAGCATYCTGAACGACAGTAACRATCAGTCTCCAACTTTACAAAATACTAAGGTGTGATGCTTTTTTTTAACATTTGAGTTGTACTTTTACATGAMATGTCCWTGCAATTAATTTACCTGTAACTGTTTCTAATGTTATTTTGATCCTAGGAAGAGGTTCRGCATTCGACCCATTCGTTTSAGTGGYGCTGCGRTACCATGASGYCCATAACGTTGACCTGCAACAAACCAAGCACCGTTRAAGCCTTGCTGAAGAGGAGTCCTCAGTTTAGAAAACKTGCAGATAAGCRCAAAGACAAAGAGCTTGTTATTTYAAGAGATRRAAAAGCTCTTAGTACRCACTCTCCCTGTATTTTATTACAAAACAATGAGCTTGTGATTGTAAMGTTTGTAAAGGCTGTAGACCAGCCTAAAAAGGCTGTTGCTGTCCTTAGGAGCCAAAACAAACCCTCTTGTGATCTAGTGTTGTTTCATGTGTTGSCAAVGGGAGRTAMAAAYGTAAAGAAAATCMTTMGTAATCCAGMASTGARGAMAMRCATACACGAAGTTACTGTCTATGCTTACAAAGGGGAAAAAGTGRAGSAGGCTCTAAAAAGAGACGGGCGCTTTCTCRRTATTGTGTTCACAAAAAACTGCGCGCTCTCYTCCAAATGTGGCAGAGTAGAAATCGAGCTTTCCAGTCTTGTGGATGACCTCGGTGACAAAACCTTTGAGGTTATTCTGCTCGATAAGAACAGTCCTCCAAGCAGCCTTGATGAAGCCTGCCTGACATCAACTGAAAGTCAGTCTCAGTGCGACTCAGAAATAGCTGCACACTCAACTGATTTGAAAGCTGACGTAAAGCCAAAACACATGTTGCAGGAAATCCCCAACTCAAAAACCATGAAGGCTCAGTTATGCTTACAGTTTAAAGATTCATTGAAAGCCATACGCCCTCGTGCTTCTAAGCTTTCCCGTATTCAGAATCTCCTCCGGGTGGAGTTCGGACAGAGTGCTCAGAGGTGCCAGGAAGTGAGCACCATGAAGAAGCTGATGGAGCTCAGTGGTTCAGTTTGCCAGGTGAGAATAAATGGGCRTCCATGTGGAAGTGGGTTTCTTTGTTTTGGCTACTAYGCCATCACTAACGGCCATGTYGTCAAAGATATTTACAATGAAMACAGGAAAGAAYTTGACGAGAAGCTCTCCGTGCACTTCTCATATGAAAGTTTAGAGCCAWCTGAGGGGGAGGTGGACGTGGTGGAGGTTGTCGGCTTTGAGTACTGCTACAACGAGCACGAAAAGGACTGGGCTTTGCTGAAGCTCAACGCTGATCAGCCACTTCCTGCCTGTCTGTTAAAACATGCTGGCTTCCCTTCTGAAGATGGTGGGATTTGCATCATTGGTCATCCAGATGGAKGTGTGAAAAAGATAGATCCGTGTTTGATTGTCCCTTCACAGAAATCCGCCCAGGTTGYGGAGAGGCATTRCTGGGAGAATCAAAATCATATTCAGTTGATTACTAACTCATWCTTTGAGAATGTGGCAAAATGTGTCCAACAACAACGGGCTCTGTTTTATGARTCTTGTTTTTATTTTGGCTCCTCTGGCTCTCCTGTCTTCGACAAGCACTGCAATGTTATTGCAGTGCACTCAGGAGGGTATCATTACCAAACACCGAAGGGTAAACTCCAGAGTGTGATAGAGTTCGGCCACCCCTTCCCTGCCATCATGGAACGCCTCCTCATTCAGATGGTGGAGAAGAAAAAGGTTGACGTGTTAAAGGAGTACCTGGCCTGTGATTACAAGCAGCATCAGATCATTATGAAAGATGTGAAGAAACTGGTTGAGAGCCGAAATCTCGGCACGTTCAGAAACGCAGTCAACSATTTAGTTCAACTGRATGACGCTGATCTAAACAAATTCTGTCAGTTCTTTACACTTAAAGAAGAACCAGTTCCAATGGAAATCGATTGATGACACTTTGATTTATTGCAACAGTTTGTTCACACACTGTATCAGGATGTTTTGGTACAGATCAACAGATATTGTAGATCACTCTTTAAACCATCTCTGGAAGCATGAGGTTCAGTTTTGACAATATCAAAAAAAACTAAAAGGTTCTATGTAAATAATGTAAACAATACAAAACAGTGTTCAGATGGACTGCTGAAAATGAGATCAGTTCTTTTAAAATAGCAATTCACTTCAAATTGGAGCAGTGAATTATTACTTAAAAATATCCTAATCTCACAAAGATCAGTAAACCCAGAAAGATATTTCTCTGTTAATTTGCTGTCCTGCTGCAAACAAATGGGAAATGGTTTTGCAAAACCTTTCTCTATAGCTGCCAGTGACAATTTTTTTTTCCTTTTTATAATACAAACACCATTATAATAATGATTTACTGATATACTGCTATTGTTTTAAACAACTAGAGTTCTGCAAAATGTTCTTTTAATATTGCATGCAACATTTTATTATGTTTTTTCTTGTATTTTATGCAGTTACATAGAAACGCATGGATTTTTTTTATTTCTTTTTGTCCTTTCATGAATTTAACAATGGTGTAAGAGTCTAGGTTAATGGAAGATGGCTCTAATGTATGGCAATTTTTAAACAATAAATTGAAAATAAATATAATTCTTGACTAAAACAGACATCTGTAGTGTTTTTTGTAATACATAAGTTTCTTGAAATCATTGGTGTTTGGTAATGGTAAGTATTTGTTTATTTATTTTACAAGAAAGATAAAGCAGCTTTCAAAATAAAACCACTTCTGAACTGAATTTTGATGTTTTGGGCAACAAATAGTTTCCATAAAACATTTAGTGGTCTGATAAAAAAATAAGCTTGAGTTCATTTGAAATATTTATTGCCTAATGTGATAAAAGAAAGTAACCTGTGGAAAAGATGTGATGCACCTTATTTTTTTCACTGCCTAAATAGTTTGTGAATTACAAAATGTTTGAAAATARATTTAATCTCAAAGCCATTTTAAAGTAGAATTATCATTTATGTGTATTTATTTTGTCTTTGAAATTATGACGTCAGCTGGTTTGGTATGACAAGGTTWTGTTTATTAAAGTATTCGGTCACTTTAACAGGTATTTGTTTAGTTTTTTTAACCATTTATTCATTTTCACCCTGAACAGTGGATTAAACAAGAGGAACAGATTTTAAACCTTCTAAATTTATATATATCCAGAGTTTATTTCCAAYACTAAGTTATTGAGCAGGGGCCTCTGTTTAAAAAATAAAGARCAGCAGAGAGCAGCACAAAACAAAGCTGTTAGTGGGGCGGAACCTTTGGTTTTGACTACAGGTTCTTTACGGACCTTATTAGCAACGGACCACAGCCGCTAGGTGGCGAGATGGAAGTGTAAGATTTTAGTTATTTTCTAGTTTCTTTTATTCTTTTATCAAATTTTATTGTTATGTACTGACATTTTAACGCATGTTTCTTCTAAAACTCTTAGCTACATATGTAGATAAAAATGTTTCCGTTTACGGGTAATTTAACTAAAATTGAAGCATATTTTGAGTCGGGTAGTTGCACTCACGAACGACATACACAAACATTTCTTTATTATTTTTATTGTAGTTTTATTAGAGTAAAATAAAACTAGGAGAATAAAAGCAAATTTCTTACGAGAAACGATCCAGATTTAAACCGCAGTTTGTTTTATTTTTATTTGAGTAATTTGGATTTTGTTAAACTTTTCAATACAACACAGCTTTTTTATCGTTATAAACATCCTATTAAACTTATAAATCCATTCACAGATTTATATAAAACAAAGTTGTCAGGTTCAATATATCGATGAAGGCGAGTAATGTTACAAATACTCTTTTCTTTTAAAACATTTTTCATATTTGGTTTAATATGAATTTAAAAAATACTTTTTAGAGTAAAATTTTAAGCATGATTTTTACAAAAGCGGTGTTAGAAACTGTTCTGCAGCATTATAAAACAAGACTACCCTAAATAAATAAATTATTTAAATGAAATCTGTTTTTAAAGTTTAAATTTAGTAATATATGGAGCTTTTATTTAACATTCATGTTTTTTTTTTCAGCAAAAATCCAAATGCTGCAATGCTCAGCAACTATGAGGTAAATCAGTGTGTTGTTTGTCACGTAACACTTTGCTGTTCAGTCAAATAGATCGGTTTAAAATGCCGTTCTTGTCTGCATGGTTCTCAGGTGTTCAAACTCCTCACAGACCTGAAGGAGCAGAGGAAAAATGCTGGGAAAAGCAAACACAACATCGGGCAGCAGAACCTCAACACCATCATGTATGAGGTAGTTACACGTTTTTGTGTTACCTCGTATTCGTCGTATTCGTTCTGAAAACACACAGTTTTCTGTGCTCGCTTTTAGACACTGAAGTACTTGTCGAAGACGCCGAGCAGCAGACAGAGTCCYGAGATCGTCAAAGAGTTCCTCACCACGATGAAGCCTCACAAACTCACAAAGTCAGTGTGTTTTCTCTGTTTTCTCATTTTTTATTTCTTTGACACTCGTTGTCCTGTGCATTAATGAAGACTCTGTTTTACTTTATMATCTGTCTCATCAACAGGGCAGAGAAACTCCAGCTGTTGAACCACCGACCACAGACTGCTGTGGAAATTCAACTAGTGAGTCTTTYTCATTGCTCTGTGGTGCCCAGTCCTGGTCCTCGAGGGCCACTACCCCRCATGCTTTAGATGTTTGTCTGCTCCTCAGCAGCTCTTCAAGTTCTACAGAAGCGTGCTAATCACTCGTTCAAAACAGAGAACCATCTACAGGTTTCAGAACAGTGGCCCTCGAGGACCATTATCATCATCACAACTAATATTACWATAAAMTTGAATGCCTTCAAAACATTCTCAACATTAGTTGAAAAGACTAAACACCTAAGCCAAAATGAGCGCTATTCTCATCAAAAAACAACTTCAGTCGCCTTCCCAAACAGATCTTCTGTTTCCAAATACAAGAAGGGGAAAAAATGAGGGGGTCAAAAGAAACTCTTGAAATTCTGGCAGAACCTCGTGTCATGCAGCATCGACACGACCGTCTGGGAGGAGCCTTGGATCGACCAAACTGGAGGACATCCATTCATCAGGGAGAACACCACTTTGATAAAAAACCTTGAAGAGAAACAAAGACAATGAAAACATCAAGCAGCTGATCCCGRTCAACTGAGATGTCCAAACACCACTGTTCAGTCACCGAAGGACGGCCCCAATTAATGATTAATTTTAATGACCACTATAATACAGTGGGGAAAATAAGTATTTAGTCAGTCACCTATTGTGCAAGTTCTCCCACTTAAAAAGATGAGAGAGGCCTKTAATTGACATCATAGGTAGACCTCAACTATGAGAGACAAAATGTGAAAAAAAA